TTGGGGATTCCAGCAAGTATATATAAATTCCTGTGCTCTTATCCATATTGCTGTAATGCGCGTTCCTTTTATGAAAGGGGACACGCCAAAAGATTACATACTATTGAGGGAGGCGTAGTAACTTCAAGTTTGGAAACCACTGATTTAAGCGGACAATTATCAATCACCATGGTAATAATAATCTAATGAACAAATGAATTATTTAGTATTCATAAAATTGAAAAACCAGAGAGTTTACAAAGTTTTACGTAATCATCGCAGTGCTGAAATCACTTGATCTTCAGCAACTTTTCCACGTAACGATGCTCGAACATAAGAGAAGTTTTTCATAAAAAAAAAAACAAATATCGAAAGCTTTTGTTTTTACGATTATCGCATACTCAATTTTTACAACCAAATACACGATTCCCGCAATTCACTTTTCTTTAGTCGCAAAATTCAATATCAACTACTTTACATAATCACGACAAAAGTTTAATTGTTAGATTTAATTTACACATTAAAACTTTTCGTTTCAGTAGATTCATAATTTTTATACATTTTTTACAGTTTTCTTAGAAATTAATTATAAATAATGCAACAGAATAAGAAACAATAATTTCCAGTTTTCGCATACAAGAAAAGGACAGATTTTTTTTTCTTGTGTTGAATGTAGAAAGGGATTAAACTGGTCCATCCATTTGGTAAACAAAACAAAGCGTTCATGTTTCCATGCGACACGAAATGAAACATCCGAACGGAACCGAATATTGCTCGCGCAACGCATTTGTTGTTGTTTACACGGCCGTCTCTGCGAATGGTTGTTGTTTGGAAAAGGTCTGATTGAAAACTAAGTGCGGTCCTCTTCCACCGCATGTGCAGCAAAAACAACAAAAACAACAACAACAAAAAATATGAATGCACGAGACGTGACTGCATTTACCGAAAGCACTTTAATGTTATTGCAAGGAACCGGTGAATCCCCTGCGGGAATTTCAAACGCGAAATTGATTTCTGCACAGAGGAAATTCAGTTATTTAATTTAACAGCTTTTTCACATTATCTATCATATCTTGTTTTTATTGAGATTTTGAAATTTTGTATAATTTCATTAGCTGTAATTGTATTAGTATAATTTCAAAGTTTATTAATCCTTATTTTTTAATTACTTATACAATTATTCACAATTCCATTATAAAATACTAGCATTTTTGTTATTTCTATAAAAAAAATCAGACTTTTGTAATTATGTTGATTTCAATCAAAACCAATCTTTCTTGATTACAAACTTAAATTATTCCAATCAACATATTGTATACTTGTCAAGACTTTAGTAATTTTGTTGATTTAAATGAAAAACCTTATATTTTTACTACAACTTTCAATAGTTTTTGATACAAAATATAATTTCCAATTGAGATTTTTTTTTCTATTTTTAATTCACTTATTGCAATTTTTGTTTCTTCAATTTCTTTATACTAATTTCATTTCTTATTATTCATTTAGTGAATACTTATGAATTACAAAAATCTATTTTATATCTATATATTCTTTAACTTTACTTTATTCAAATCACGTCTGCTAAACCCATTATTTAACAACCTAATAAATCCATCTTTTGTTGTTTGTTTTTTAGGCTCCAGTTCCATGGAGATCGATCCTGAGCTCGTGGCCAGTTTGGCTGAACATCCTCGCACAGTGGGGCGGTATCTGGGGTTTATTTACGGCGATGACCCATGCCCCAACCTACTTCAAAGTCATCCACGGCTGGAATATTAAAGCGGTAAGCTCATCTCCAAATTACCACCGCTCATTGTTCGTTCTGCCCTTATTACCAAACTTCGAGGCGACAAACATTTTTTTCGCTCCTCCACATATTTTTTTCCATCAGAAAAGTTTTACTTAATACTTTTTATCATTACATTCCCTAAACAATATACACAATCATTAAACAGCCCCAAAAGCTTTCACAGCCTGATTTTATTAATTTAATTAATGAAACTTTTTAACATAAGCATTTTAAAACATACAAAACTAAATGTTGTACCAATTTTTAGAAAGAAAATTCAGGAAAATTCTTCAATTAGTTTGGTTTAATTGAAAGCAAACATTCGCATCCACTAATTAAGTTGTTGTTCAACTTTGTAAATTAACGAATTCATACTGCGTTGACCAAAAGAGAGATTCAGGTTTTATTTTCCTGCGAGATGCTTTCCAATTATTTATTGACGCCATCGATCCAGACTGGACATTATTAGAGGAGTCTGTGTCAAGGCTACAACAGCAGACAAGACAATTTAAAGTGCACTTCTCGCACGCACGGTTGAATCATTTAATAGATAAACTTCGGCGTTAAATACAACAATAAACGTTATTTACGTAACGATTATATGGAAGATTTATTGAACCATCTCAGAGTTTTATTGATCTAAAACGTAATCTCATTATAAAAAATTGTTTTTCGAAACCCCAAATCCACTTATAAAAATACATTTGGTTCCCGATTTTTATGATGTTCTTAACTATACAAGATTGTAGAAACCGTACAATAGAGATATCGAGAGTTGTCGCATTTTTTGAACCGTCTTATTCAAGACTCCGTGCAATTCAAGTACCGTGTTATTTGAGATTCCGTGTAACACAAATTTTAACACGAGTTTTGCATGTAAATATAAACTTTTTCAGTAGTTTTATTTAATAGAAACGTTTTTTAATAAATTGAAGACTTTTACAATTAACTTATATACAATAATAATAATGACTAATTTGAAATGTTTCTTTAATGGTGTTATCGTGTAAAATTTTAATCTACTTTAGTCATTAATATCCTTTTAGAATGTGTCGGAAATTTGTTGAATTGAAACGCATTTAATTAAATGAAAATTATGCAGTTGTATATGCAATTAACGTGAATAATCTCGAGTGTATTTTTAATGGTTTTCAAATATTCTATGAAAATTTGTATTAATTACAATTGGAATGTTATTCTTTCTTAATTACATCGATAATTTACTTGAATTTCAAGAATATTATGAGAAATTTTAGAAAAGTTGAGATTTTCATAGAATTTTTGATTTCCATAGACATTTTGTACTAATTGTATTTTTGTTTTGTAAAATCAATTAAAATTTATATTTGAAATTATACAAACTTTGAAGAAATGATGGTTTTTTATGCAAATTTAAGAAAAAAATCGATATTAATACATTATGAAAAATTTAATATATGTTTGATTTTCATATAAATTTTGTATTAATTCCAATTTTTTATAAAATTCAAATATATTTGTAATGGAATTATGGAAACTTTGAAAGAATTATGGTTTTCTAAGCAAATTTAAGAAAAAATCAATATGAATACATGATTTTATGAGAAATTTAAAAATTTTGTACTAATTGTATTTTTTTTTTGTAAAATCACTCAAAGTTTGTATTTGAAATTACGTAAGATTTAAAAATCATTGATTTTTATAGAAATTTAAAAACAATAATCGATATTAATACATGATAATATGAGAAATTTAATATATGTTTGATTTTTATGAAAATTTTGTATTAATTGCAAATTTTTCTAAAATCGAAATATATTTGTATTGAAATTATGCAAACTTTAAAACAAAATCATGGTTTTCTATGCAAATTTAAGAAAAACATTGATATTGATACATGATTTGATTAGAAATTTAGAATATGTTTGATTTCAATGGAATTTTTTTACTAATTGTATTATTTTTGCTAAAATCAATCAATATTTGTATATGAAATTATGCAAACTATAAAAAATGATTGATTTATAAGGAAATTTTATATTAATTAAAATCCGAGATATAAAATTGTTATATGTGGATCAGAGAATTTAATTAAGTAATACCAGTACATAATTAAACCATTAATAGACTATTATGAGCGATCACAGACTGTAACACAGTCCAATTTTCATCATTTTCTTTCTATTAATTAAACCAATTTAAAGCCTAAATATAGAGAAAAAAAACTCAAAAAATTACAAAATTACCCTTTACAATTATATATTTTTTTTCTATTCCAGACTGGACTTCTTTCGGGAATGCCTCACTTCATAAGGATGGCCTGGGCATACGTCTTCTCCAGAATCGGAGACTACCTTTTATCCACGAACAAAATGACCCGAACTAATGTGAGGAAATTGGCCACATTCTTCGGTAAGTGTAACAGTATTTTTTTCTGTCCTTTTACCTTCTGTTTTATTCTCAGCAAAAGAAAAACATCAAAGCTTTTATTAAAGCAATGATTTCATTCATTAAATACATTCAGAAATACATTTTTAACACTTTTCATTCATTATTATACAATACCAAATGCTGCAGCTTATTACGTTTTTTACTTGTTCAAAATATCAACAATTGTAATTCTTATGTAATTTTCAAATGGTTTTCACCAGAAAGAAATAATTAAATTTTTCAACACGTTTCATTGAATGTCACGAACGAACAACTGCTGCAGCTTTAGTATTCAGTTTTCACCTAATAACTATGCGAAACTTAACAAAAACAACAACAATTGAATTTTGCAGCTTGCATCGTGCACGGTTTCTGCATGTTGGCGTTGGCTTATTCGGGATGCAACTCGATGGCTGCCATCGTCTTCTTAACAGCCGCTACAGCCATCCACGGTGCAGTTTCAACAGGTTCTCTCGCCAGTTTTGTAGACTTGAGCCCCAACTACGCAAGTAAGTTCGAATTACCTAAACTTTTCCTTTACATATTCAACACAGAACTTTGTTTTCTATAATCTAATCTGTAAATAAAAGCAAATTGAATGCAAGATAAATTACTATTTCATGGTTCAAAATGTAGAAGAAGTACATCGATTCAAGCAGTGCGACAATTTCAAAACGAACAAACTAAACAATTTTCTACAAAAATAATCGTTTTTTTCTCTTGCAACAAAGTCTCGTTTTGTCCGGTTTATATCTATTTAATTTACTAGCTCAAATAGGACTGTGGGAGGTATTGCTGTATTATATCAAAATAAAGTAGAAGTTAGTGAAATAAAATTTGCTAGTTTTTAATTCCAAATTTTATGATTGAAGTAAAAATACTATGAATTAGTCTAGACCATTTTTTCTTATTTCAAACTCTCAAATCATAGAATGAAATATATTAAATTTCTATTTTATAATAAACTTTTTGTTCTTCGTTTATGTATAATTAAAGTTTATTGTTTGCGTTAATGAAATATAAGATTGTAATAAGCTCGACCCATCCAACGGTAATTCATCATCGATTCAGTCTACGTGAAACTAATGAGAAACGATTTGCGGTGGAATCCATCAAAAACCATGAAAAGCAACGTAAATGTATACACACATAATATCGAAATAAATATTAAACAGTGGGCATTACGCGGCGGGTAATTCAATTAGGCTAACGTCGCGTCGCCCGTTAACTAATTAGTTTGCATTCGCACGTATTAGGCTATTAACATTTATCGTTGCGCCCCTAATTAAAGCGGACGTTATTAATTATATGATTCCGGCATTGATTTTGGATTTTCCGTGCGACGTTCACAAATGGATGGGGTTTTGTTCTAATGCGTTTTGCGAAACGTATTGTCCGATCATCAATCAGATCGAAATCAACTGTTCAAACTTCATGCTTAATCGGTTGCCGCACTGTTTGAAACCGGACTCATCGAGGATTTAAACAAAAAATAGCATAACAATAAGGAGAACTTGATTGTATAATTTTTGTTTATTTTGATATTTTCAAACCGTACTATAGTGAATCCAAACTGAACGAAGCCGCACTATACGAAGTATTATTATATTACTGAGTTTTTTTTGTGTAGAAATATGGGTTTTCTTGGGGATTGGATCAATTATAACAGCATTAATAAATCGATCATTTTTGTATAATTATAATTTAGTGTATTAATTTTTGAGATTGTATCTTGTTCAATTTAAAATTTAGTTTCTACTATAATGAATCCGGACTAATCGAAACCGAAATATGCGAGGTATTGCTGTGGTCAGGTTTTTCGTGGTTACAATATGAGTTTTTGAGGTCAATTAAAGCTTTTAATTAAAATTTAGTTTGTTTTGCATAATTTCCAAACCGTACTATAGTGAATGCATACTAATGGAAACCGCACTATGCGAAGTATTACTGTATTTGAGTATTTTATGTAGAAATATGGGTTTTCGTGGGGATTGGATCAATTATTACAGCATTAACAAATCGATCATTTTTGTATAATTATAATTTAGTGTATTAATTTTTGAGACTGTATCTTGTTCAATTTAAAATTTTGTTTGTACAATAATGAATCCGGACTAATCGAAGCTGAAATATGCGAGATATTGCTGTGGTTGAGTTTTTCGGGGGTTACAATATGAGTTTTTGAGGTCAACTAAAGCTTTTAATTAAAATTTAGTTTGTTTTGCAAAATTTCCAAACCGTACTATAGTGAATGCGTACTAATGGAAACCGCACTATGCGTAGTATTACTGTATTTGAGAGTTTTTCTTTGTGTAGAAATATGGGTTTTCGAGAGGATTGGATCAATTATTACAGCATTAACAAATCGATCATTTTTGTATAATTATAATTTAGTGTATTAATTTTTGAGACTGTATCTTGTTCAATTTAAAATGTAGTTTGTACTATAATGAATCCGGACTAATCGAAGCTGAAATATGCGAGGTATTGCTGTGGTCGAGTTTTTCGGGGGTTACAATATGAGTTTTTGAGGTCAATTAAAGCTTTTAATTAAAATTTAGTTTGTTTTGCAAAATTTTCAAACCGTACTATAGTGAATGCGTACTAATGGAAACCGCACTATGCGAAGTATTACTGTATTTGAGTGTTTGTTTTGTGTAGAAATATGGGTTTTCGAGTGGATTGCATCAATTATTACAGCATTAACAAATCGATCATTTTTGTATAATTATAATTTAGTGTATTAATTTTTGAGACTGTATCTTGTTCAATTTAAAATTTTGTTTGTACAATAATGAATCCGGACTAATCGAAGCTGAAATATCCGAGGTATTGCTGTGGTCGAGTTTTTCGGGAGTTACAATATGAGTTTTTGAGGTCAATTAAAGCTTTTAATTTAAATTTAGTTTGTTTTGCAAAATTTCCAAACCGTACTATAGTGAATGCGTACTAATGGAAACCGCACTATGCGAAGTATTACTGTATTTGAGTGTTTTTGTGTGTGTAGAAATATGGGTTTTCGAGAGGATTGGATCAATTATTACAGCATTAACAAATCGATCATTTTTGTATAATTATAATTTAGTGTATTAATTTTTGAGACTGTATCTTGTTCAATTTAAAATTTTGTTTGTACTATAATGAATCCGGACTAATCGAAGTGGAAATATGCGAGGTATTGCTGTGGTCGAGTTTTTCGGGTGTTACAATATGAGTTTTTGAGGTCAATTAAAGCTTTTAATTTAAATTTAGTTTGTTTTGCGAAATTTCCAAACCGTACTATAGTAAATGCGTACTAATGGAAATCGCACTATGCGAAGTATTACTGTACTTGAGTGTATTCTTTTGTGTAGAAATATGGGTTTTCGAGGAAATTGGATCAATTATTACAGCATTTATAAATCCATCATTTAGTGTATTAATTTTTGAGACTGTATCTTGTTCAATTTAAAATTTAGTTTCTACTATAATTAATCCGGACTAATCGAAGCCGAAATATGCGAGGTATTTCATGGTTAAAAATGTAGAAGAAATACATGGGTTCAATCAGTCCGGTTTGATAATTTCAAAACGAACAAACTAAACAAAATTAGATTTCTTTTTCTACAAAAAAATGATCGTTTTTTCTCTTGCAACAAAGTCTCGTATTATCCGGTTTATATCTATTTAATTTACTAGCTCAAATAGGACTGTGTGAGGTATTGCTGTATTATATTATTAGTAAAATAAAATTTGCTACTTTTTAGCTCCAAATTTTATGATTGCTGTAGTCGAGTTTTTCGGTGTTACAAAATGAGTTTTTGAGGTTGAGTGGATCAACAATTAAAGCTTTTAATTAAAATTTAGTTTGTTCTGCGAAATTTCCAAACCGTACTATAGCGAATGCGTACTAATGGAAACCGCACTATCGCTGTAATTGAGATTTTTTCGGTGTTGAAATATAGGTTTTTTTTGAGGTAGAGTGAGATTGCACCAATTAGTAATCGTCTGGTCGTTGTCCCCTCAGAGAACCGCCACTAATTAACGTGGATAAAGGGAATTTATGATAGGCCAATTTGGTTCACTTGAATATCAGGACTATTCACAGCTTTTTCTACTTTTTTTCTTGAATACTGCAAACTTTAATTGATTCAACCGTTTCACCCTTATTATTAATTAACACAAGTTAACATTTTTATAGTCTTTGTAATATTATTAAGAAAAAATGACATTCTTTAATTTAAATTTTTTTAATTGAAACAACAATTTGTAAATTGTAATTTGTAAAAACTTAAAAAAAAAGTTAAATTTAACTCTTCTATGATTCTGTAATCATATTTTTATAATCCTTATTGAATTTAGAATGAAAATCAATTTAAAAAAAGTAAAATTTAACTAAAATCTTGAGAATAACAGCTTTCAATTTATAATAACTTTGTTATTATATAATTATATCAAATGTTCAGTACTCATAAGTTGTCTTAACTAAACTATAAATAAAACGTATTCTCTTATAAGATAGATTGCATTTTTTAAACTTTGTTTTGTTGTTGTTGCAGGTGTTCAACTTGGATTATCAGGAATGATTTCTGTACTGCCCGGCTTCATTTCGCCAGCAATCGTCGGAATTTTAACATACAACAATGTGAGTATTTCGATTGGATTCGTTGCGATTAATTACTTTTCCGAGTGTTGTTAATTCGTTCCACGTAATTCGTTGACATTTATCAAAATCGTGTCAACAAAACAATGCGACCTTTTGCAATTCGATGCGTTAAAAATCACATTTAAAACCAGACGAATTTCGTTTTAGTTTTGAATCATAATTTGATTTTTTCTTAATTTTGATTTGTTTTTTTTATATAGCAAACAGCATCTCAATGGCAGAAAGTGTTCTGGATTTCTGCGTTCATGCTGATCGTGCCCGGAATTCTCTATTTGTTCTTCGCAAAATCCGAACTGCAGGATTGGAACAGTCCGACCACGGGAGATTCCGCCTTGGAATCCGAAATGAAGACTCTGAAGAATGGAAAAGTTCAAGAAGATGATGAAGAGGATGAGGATAAAGAAGATGTTACGCATAATAAAGAAGAGAAAGTCGAAGTATAAAGCGAAAAAAAAAATAAGATTTACAACCAGATATACTCAAAAGTGCATGTTCGAACATGAAAATATATTATTTTCAGAAATAAAAGACACGTAATATTATGAAATTTGTAATTTATTTTGTATATAAGAAAACAACAATTAACCTTTACATATTTCTTTTGAAAATAATCTACGTTTTCTATTAAATAATGAAAAATGATAAATTTATTTATATTTCATATGGATTAGATAAAAACGTTCTGCTAGAAAATTATATGAAATTCCATTACATAAATGATAAATTTGCTTACATATGGATTAGGTTTCGATAAGTATTGAAGAAATGAAGGAGAAATTAAAGCAGTTCAACGTCCTGCGAGAAAAATATATTTCTCAAAATTTCCATTTATATGCGACTGCTTAAAACCGTAAGAAAACTCTGGTCATCGAGCACGAATCTAGTTATTTCTTTATACTATTCCGAAGATTATACTTGTAATAATAACAAGAAATCAGAGAAAGAAAGTCGTTGATCCGCTTTCGCTGGAAATCGCATCTGCAGGACGTTTCATTTTATTTATTTTCTTACTGTTTTCTCTTGCTGTTTATTGCGTTTCGCTTTGAGCATTACCAATTTAATGGACTTCGTCTAAGGGTGTTTTTTTGGTTCACCCTTCTAAGAAAACTCCGAATCTGAGAGTGCGGTTTATCTCTTGGAACTTCCAATTAATCTCAACACCAGTCGAGATTATCCGCAGCCAAATGAATCAACATTAAAGTCTGTATTTCCAAAAGAAATTTCAACAATTCACTTTACACAAATCGTATTAATTAATTGAAATCACAATTAATATAAATCACAAATTATCAATCGATTTTAATCTAACATTTAGTCTAAAATCTGTTAATTTTATAATACATAATCATGTATTATCTAAATCTTATATAAAATTAAAATTTAGTGCAAAAAAAATCTAAATTTGAAATAAATAAAGCGATAATAAACATATTTATGCAATGAATTCCATTGGGGCAACAATCTGCGCGCATTTCAAGTAAATAACGAAATAATCTTCAACTCCCCACGGATTTAACCGAGCTCCATTATTATCTAAACGTCTAAATCTGTCAGCTTACGTATATAAACTACATATTACATAGCAGCAATTTTTTAAGTATATTTCACAATTCTCACTCATAATCAATTTCGTCTCCACTAAATCATCTCATTATTAATCAGGATAATCCAATTCGTGGCTTGTTTTAATATCATTAATTGCTGCTTTTGCAACGAAAAATTTTGGAATTCGCTAACAAATCTGATAGAATGGAAGCTTTATTGTTCGGATGATGCAGGAATTTGAAATCTGGATCGCGGCCAAAAAGTTTCATCCGCATTGAAACAACCACCTGGATGAAAACTGCGTGTTTTTTCCGCTCCAACTATGCCACACTTTTAATTGAAATTAAATTAGTTTTCGCAGCTTCGTTTTCCATAGAATCGTTTTATTTACGTTATGCAACTCAATGTTTGTCTATTAAACAAAAAACATGTTTTGGAAATAAAGTCATTATTTTTTAATTTGTTTTTCTGTTCAGATAAATTTCAGCTTCACAATTGAAATATTGAAATATGAACTGTGTTTCTTTGAAAGAAAATTAAAGAATTTTGTTGAAAATATGAAGGATAAATATGAAATAAGAACTTTTACAAATTCTGTAAATAAATAATGTATACATCAGAAATACTTGCAGGGCGTTTTATTTGTTAAAATGTAGGTTGAACGTGGAAATGTAAGTATTGAAAATTTTAAATTGAAAAGGACGAAAAATGTCATGGATCGAAAGTTAAAAATATACAACCTAAATAAGATATCCGTTTAAAAAAAAGCGGCTATAAATAAACACGAGGGTTTTGCATCGATTGATAGATAAATAAATGTGAAAAGAGTGAACGCGAAATTGAATTTCCTGCAAAATATGCGCAAATATTGAATAAACATAATTTCATGGGTATTCCTGCAAAACGCGAAGTTTTCTATTGAAATAGTCCGAGCCATATATCAATATTTGTTAGTTTTTCTCCCCTTTTTCGTCTGTCCGAAACTCCGAAAAAAACCCGTTGAAAACCTATTATTTGTATATTGAAGAGAAAACGATAAATTGCAAATTGTTATTCAATGTATAAAATTATGATTTTTTCTTATATTAGTAAAAACGCTTTGAAAAACTTTATTTTATTTAATGATTCAATAAAAGAAATCGGAAGTTTCATGGTTTTTTTTAAACATAATTCAATTGTTTTTGATCATTTTTATTAACTCAATTTTAAAGTATTATTAATGATCAAATAACATTGATGAAAAAAAATTTTCATATATTTTTGATCGAAAATAAACAAATCTGTACTGGTTGATTATTTAACAATTAAATTCTGATAAAATTTTGAAAAAAAATATCGATTTTTACAGCTTATAATAACCAAAATTTAATAGTTACAAATCTCACAGTTTATCAATATTATAGCCTATATTGTTTACTTTAATAAGAATAATTATAGAACTAATTAACATGCGTGGTTTTCGAGTTATATGATAAAACGTGTAGACTATGCATTTGTGAGCATTCAAAGGAATTTGTTTTAAACTTTGATAGCTTATCACAGACAAACTGTAATAAGTACAAATCTGATTGTACGCACATATTAAAGCCTGTATTTTGTACTTTAATTTAAGCATTCGTAGATTTGATAAACTTACTTGATTATTGAGTAATATGGTGAAACGTAAAGACACTTCTTTTTTCGATTTAATATAAATGTTCTTCTTAGCAAAATTACTCCAAAATTATTCAATAATAATATAGTTCTCACAGTTTATCAATATTATAGTCTATATTGTTTACTTTAATCAGAATAATTATAGATCTAATTAGCATGCATAGTTTTCTAGTTATATAATAAAACGTGTAGACATTGCATTTGTGAGCATTTACAGGAATTTGTTTTAAATTTTGATAGCTTATTACAGCCAAACTGTAATAACTACAAACCTCATTGTATGCACATATTAAAGCCTGAATTTTTAACTTTAATTTAAGCGTTCGCAGTTTTGATAAGCTTACTTGATTATTGAGTAATATGGTAAATGGAAAAATGGAAAAACTAAAATGTGATTTATCCTAAGAGTGAGATTCAATTGAATTGAAAATTAGTGAGGAAAATAAAAACAATAGGTTTTATTCCCGAATGTCCGAATAATGGAGTATTAGCAGAGGTTCCGGCAGAAAGAGAGCCATCAATTAGGGCCGAAGTGTGCGGTTGCGTGGCAGGAAACGCGCCGCAAAAGCCGAAACGACGCTTATCTACCAGTAGTTCTTCGGCGTCGCGACGCATCGGACGCCTTCCCATCATCAACACAACCTACCGTGCTTTACGTGCATCAAACAAAACAACACGAAAAGAGAATAACAATTAAGAGAATCAAAAAGGTAAAGCATACTCATTTACTTTTTGGTGGATTCGCCGGGTAAATTCAAAATGTTTCAATCAAAATATTTATTTGCATGTTAAAACGTATTTCAATTTATTCAATTATAATTTACATTTGACAAGTATAAATATCAATAACTTAATTTTACAAATTCTCAATTAATTCATCTAATTATTTAAGGAATTAAATATTTTTTTTCCAAAAATCATGAATCAAATATTTCAGGTGTATTTAATAATACACAATGTTTCTTCCATTAAGTTAGTAAGCGATTATCAAGTTAATTAGTAGCATAGTTTGTGCAGCATACAAACATATCACGTTAACCGCTATTGTTTCTCTCCTTCCATTGTTTCCATTTCAAAGTCGACGCGTTTCCTCTTCTTTGTGATGCATCAAAACGTAAATCATACTCCAATCTGTGGATTATTCATGTCTGTTTTTCTTGTATAATAAAAGACATTTTATTTCGTGTATAGTGCGGATCCGCCAATAGCCGGACTGTTCGAAAACGAATAATTTTACAAAAAAAAAGTCTACTAATTTCAGAAATTTATTTCACATTTCAAATTAAAATCGATTCGATTTTTTTGTACTGTTGAATAAATTTGCATAAGGAATATCGAATTAATTAGTAAAATATTCCCATTTCTGTATTGACTCGTTTGATTGGTTGGTGAGCGAGTTTCTAATTAGGAGAATCATATTCCGCGCTGCCAACAGACTTAATACCAGACGTCTATGCTGACTTTAATTAAACTCGCGCTGTACACTTACAAACTATATATAGACACACAAAAACCTTCAGGTATTCTCACACTAAATCCATTTTGCATCCAAATTCAATGCAATCTGAAGTAATGAAAGCTAAAAATAACGAAAAGTGATTTATGTGAAAGTTTATTGAAAAACTGGGAGAGTGTTTGCGCAAAATAAAATTAGAAATACAGCGAAGAGATAGATCCCAGTTGTGAGAGTTTAATTGAATTTTGAGCCACCGGCTAATTGGCGACGAATGAACGCTTCTTTGTGTGTTTAGTGTGCATGTACATAAGTCGAAAACGATTCTGTTTACCGGTTAAATATTTGCGTCCAGGATTTAGTAAGGGAATTGGATCTCATAACTGAAATATATTTCTTTCTACTCATTGCAAAATCTAGTGAATTTTTATGTGCATAAAATTGTAAATAATGAAATTTATTAATTAAAATAATATAAAAAAGTATAGACAATGAACGCTGGAAAAAAAAATGGTAAAATTTTGAAAAAAAAATCAAATTTGATAGCTTATAATGACCAAAATTAAATAGTTACAAATCTCACAGTTTATCAATATTACCTGTATTTTGCACTTCAATTTAAGCATTCGCAGTTTTGATAAGCTTACTTGATCATTGAGTAATATGGTGAAACGTAAAGACACTTCTTTTTTCGATTTTATTCAACTTAAGAATTTTGAGATTTTTGAGAATAATATAATAAAGTACAGATTAAAATTAAAGTTAAAATAACATTTTCAAATACAATTTTTATTTAAATTTGGAAGAAACAAAAACATCAAATATTATGAATGATTTTCAACGAAAATTCTTAATTTTGTAAGTAAACTAAAT